AGGGCAGAGGACAGAGCTGGGTCCCAAGTGGCCTCATCGTTGAGGCCCCGACCTTCCCTCTGGCTGAGTGCCAGGTCCTGCAGAGCCACCATTTCAGAAGGATCACTTGAGTGGAGGAAGGATGGCACACAGTGTGAGAGCCAGAACACGAGAAAACATCTGTACTGCAGCCCTAACCTCTGAGGACTGTCTCAGCATCACATGCAGAAAGAGGGGCAAGGCGCAGGTCCCTCCACATAGTCTAAGGACAGGGCTGCTGCAGGGTGGCCTCTGCTCCTTGGTGCCATCCTGGTGCACTGGGTTTACATGCACCTCCCAACCGGAGCCCCTCCAGGTGCAAGTGTGGAGTAAGGGAGGCCAAGGGGCTCTGGAAAGGAACAGGAAGGGGTACCCGCCTCTGCGCAGTGGTTTAGATACCCACTCTGGAAGTGCCACTGGGACTCAATGGCCAGGGCTGACCTCCAAACTGGGGAGCTGGAGGGACATCAGAGTGGGGTGGGGCCAGGAGAGGGCTGCTGTGGGCCCGCTCGTCACCTGGGTGCCAGGCCTCGCGGGCCTCCTCCAGGCTGCCTCCTGACCCTGCCCCCCAAATTGGGCCAAGATACCCCCTACACTCCCATTTGGCCGTTTCCTTGTGGGAAGCCAACAACTCCCTGTGACACGTGGCCAAAGCAGCCACCGCCTTCCTGGCTCTCCCTGGAAGCCGGGAAAGCGCTCGCGGCAGAAGGCTGGGGAATAAAGGAGCCTCAGTGAGGAAGTCTGGCGCACCGACTTCCAAGGAGAACTTGAAAGTGTAGGAATTAAAGCTTGAATTCTGCTTTCAAATCACCTTGTGTGTGGCAATAACAAGCCTGTGTGCTTTTGACAGACTGATACTTTAAAAATAGTTTCGCCCTGAAACCAGAGAAATGAGCCCAGAGAGCGGCGCCTCGCTGCATCCAGGGACACAGCTGGGGGCTCACTCTCACAGCCTGGCTGGAAGCACCGCCAAGGCCAGGCCTGACCCCGTTTGCCCTCCCACGGCCGCCTCTCTGTCTCGCCTTCCAACATGGGAGCTGAGGTTGCTTAACCTGAAGGCTACGGTTAAGGCAGTCCCACGACGGTCTGCCGATGTCCTCACAGCAGCACCTCCTGGCGTAGCACAGAAGGGCACATCCCCGCCACTGAGGGATCTGGAACCCTCTGAAGGGTGCTTGGAGGAGCCCCAGGGGCCAGAGCTTCCCCCCACTCCCCATGGGGCACATGACCCCAAACACTGAGGGGCCTCTGGCCTGACGCCCTGACCTGTCAAGAGAAGGGGGTGGGGATTACTGAGGCCAAAGGCTGAGCGCAGATTCCCACCCTCAGAGCCAGCTTGGGCACCCCTCTGCCGCGACGTGACAGGCCAACTGGCAGCAGGCCCTCCCAGGTGGCTCTGGAGTTAAGAGCACACCCAGCCATGTTTTGGGAGCAGGACCTGCAGGGTGTCTAAGGACTGAGGAGTGGGCGCTCATGATCGAGATGAGGCTCCCAGGATGGCACAGGCAGGCTCCAGGCTGGCCCAGCCTCGCTGACCCACTCCCCGTGTCTACAACCCTGGACATGGCAGGTAGCTCCCAGCGCCCCCACAACACCTGAGCCCCTATGTGGCCAGGTGCCAGAAGGGGCGGCCTTCCAGGGGCACTCGCTCCAGCCAGCTAGAAAGACAACCAACAGCTAGAAAGACTCTCCTCTGGAAATGCGCTCCTCATTTTGAAATGGAACCACAGGGCCACAGTCTGCTCGACCCAAGCTCCTGCCGCCTCCTCCCTCCCTACTGTGCGCGTCCCCTGGGACTCTCACTCCGCACAGGAACCGCCACCTCCGCCACTGCTTCTGACAGCAGACACTCCCTCTCACTAAGCTGCTCTGAGGAACGGGCTGAGGATTAGTGGCCCCGGATGATGCCGCAGGCTCAGGGGTGCCAGTGCTGGGTCAGACCTGGCCTGGACTGTGGCACAGCCTCTCCACTCACTGGGAGACTTCGGGCCGGCGCGCGGACCTCTCTGAGCCGTGTCTGCGGGTTCAAGGAGGAAAGGCCTGCTCTGCCCCGAGTGCAGGATACGATGAGGCCCCACGTGTACCCAGCAGCACGGTGCCAGGTTCCATACCAGCCAGCATGGAGCCACCCCCTCGGTGGCCTCAGGAAGGGGCGGGGACAGAGGCAGGGCTGGCCCTCGTGGCCCTCACAGGTCATGCTCAGGCTGGCTGACCTGAAGCCATCTGGAAACATTTCCAATTCCTCACTCTCGTAAACATTTTCCGAGACTAGCCACGTTAGCTTAAAACAAAACCTAAACCTCATACAGAGATAAGACCCAGCTTCAGAGCATGGTTTTCTCATGACTGGGGAAGAATGTTTATTTGGAACCCAACCCCCAGGCCTCCTACTCAGAAGTGTTTCCAAAAACAAGTCTGTCCCCCAGGGTGACCTGCACAGAAAAACACTGACACACAGGCAGACTCACCCACGTGGGTGAAAGGACAGTCTTTCAGGAAATCAACAAAAACAAGCGTTGGGAAAGACAGAAAGAGGCCCCGTGGAGGCGGGAAATATTCTAACTGCCTGAAGCTCTGTGCAAGGAAGAACAGACTCCAGGCAGCAGGCCCAGCCCAGCCACCACTGCAGGCCCAGTGTCTACCCTGGAGGCAGCCTCAGGAACATGCTTCTGCACCTGTCCCAGGAAACAGAGGCTCCAACCATGCTCTCGGGCCCCCCACCCAATAGCAACTGTCACCTAAAGAAGCCAGTTCAGCTGAAAGCCAAGTTCAGCTCTCCAAGAGCAGGCGGGCACCCAAAGGCAGTGTGTGTGTGCACAAATCCACACGCTTGCACTCTTGTGTACACAATAAGCATGGCGCGCACACCTGTGCTCTCTCACACATGCACAGAGCCAGATACTGCACTGCACCTGACCCCCATGGCAGCCTCATGGGCAGGGGACCCAGAAGCTAGGGTGTGAGCCAGGCCACTCCTTCCCATTGTGACTTCGGTGTCATCCCTACCCATCCGTCAGAGGCCCAGTCCTTCTCCTGGTCATGGCAGCTATAGCCCCACCAGCTCCCACTCTTGTTCCTCCCAACCCTGGCTCTTCGCAAATGCTGTTCGCTCTGCCTAAAAGCTGTTCTCTGTTCCTGACTCCTCTTTTCCTTCCAGGCCCAGCTCAAGTGTCATTTCCTAAGTAAAGCCCTCCTGAGCCCACTCTGGGCCAGGCCAGTTCTCCCTGCACATCGCGACTCACAGAAATGTGTGCTTAGGGCATGGTGGTGACACAAGACACCTAGTATTTTTGAAGATGCATGTGGAAGTACTTAGGGGTGAAATAGGGTGCTAGCTGGTATTCACTTTAAAATACTTACAGAAAGAGGGGAAAAAAAGCTCCACGAAGCAAGTTACGGCAAACGCCCCAGCCGCCGGCGCTGGTAAACTGTGGCTCCCCCCGTCCCTGCCCCCTCTGTGCACACCTGGAAGCTGCAGATGATGGAACTGTGTACACCGCCGGCCCCTGGGGGAACACCTGCTACATCTCCCTGTCCCTCACTGCACCGCCAGCTGCAGCAGGCCAGGGATGTGTCTGCCCTGCTTTGTGGGCTGAGTGAATGGACAAGCGGGTGGCGGGCCCTCCTGCCTCCCCCTGCCCTGGCAGTCCTGGAGTCACAGGGCATTGCCCAGCAGTGGAGCTGGGTACCAGGACCTCCCCATGCCCTGGCAGTCCTGGAGTCACAGGGCA